GCTCCACAATTCAAAAAGGATGTGGAGAAGCTTGAGAGACCCCAGAGGAGAGCAACACGCATGATCAGAGGTCAGGAAAACAGATCTTATGACAAAAGGCTGAGAGCCATAGGACTCTTCAGCCTGGAAAAGTGCAGCTCAGGGGCGACCTGATGGCTACCTATAAGTTTATAAGGGGTGTTCACCAGGACCTGGGGGAACACTTGTTCTCCAGAGCACCCCAAGGGATTACAAGGTTGAATGGTTATGAACTCCTGCAAAACTCCTTTCAGGCTGGATATAAGGAAGAATTTCTTTACTGTCTGTAATTGGCATCTAGCTGCCGGTTTGATTCCCTGGCTCTCTGATCGCTTTCCCCTGCTCCTCCCAGGGGAAGAGCTTGTCTGAGCATGGGATTTCAGCAGGCTGCTGCTGCAGGCTGGGGCCAATGGCAGCTGCTTGGTGCAAGCGCTGGGAAGACTGTGGTGCTGCTGCTGGCCCCAGCTTGCAGTGGCAGCCTCCTGAAACCCGGTGTGCAGATCTGGGGGCCCATGCCCCCCAGGAAGAGCAGAGATCTGTGCCAGGGTCTCCTCACTGCTGCTGCCTGCCCTATGCAGCCCCACACTGCTGGGGCAGCGCAGGGTGGGGAGCAGTAGTGAGGAGACCTCAGCGCAGATCTCTGCTCCCTGTGGAGCCAAGTTGAGTGGTAGGGACCAGCAGGCTTGTTCACCACTCTGTGCTGCTTCCCTGCCCCGCAACCTGGCATGACATGGATAAGATCCACATGGGGTGCTCCTCACCTGTGCAGAGGGCAGTGGCCCTCCCGCTCCCCAGGATAAGACACCCATGGCCCTGACCTGATCCCTGCTGGTTCCCCAAGCCCTGCCCAGCTGGGTAGGGCTGTGCAAAGCTTCCCTTGCAGCCCATTTGAAATAGATTGGGAGGAGATTTGGCAGAGTCAAATCTCCAAAAGAGATTCAGCTGAAATGAAACAAGACAGTGATCCGAAATGAACTGCTGTCCTTCAAAACGGCTGAATCCGAAACAGAATCGAAACACCACCATTTCGCACAGCCCTACTGCTTAGATTCTAATTATTTTCTTTTTTTTTTTAATCTTCATCTAAAGACTAAATTTTATCCTTTATTTGCATCTTTTATTTTAAAACAATATAAAACCCAGTGTAATACAATTGTACAATTAGAATTAAGGCATGTGTACAAACATGTATACATATAGTGTCCATATATACAATAGGTTGTAATAGTCTTTTCTGTTCAACAAATACACAATTCACAAAGCATGTGCCCTGAGAATAGAAGACCATTTTAAAGTGCCAAGAAGGAATTCATACTTTATTGCATTAATTTGTTAGGGGATTCTAGTATTGGTTTATTCCATGATTGCCGAGAGACCAAATCATAGACTGAAAGTTAAATCAATACTTTGTCCTGCAGTGATGTCTACCACATGTGTCTGTTTCACCATATCCTCCGAGGTTGCTGTGACAGAATAGGTGCCAGGGAATACTTCAATGTAGATATCTTTAGAAGCCTCTCTTCCCTTATGGGGAGAAGAAAAACAATACTGTTTAGTAGTTTTGAACTTCCTACAGAAACTGGCCTTTTTTAGTTGTGAGCTGTTATGTTCATATATCAGGTAAAACGCATTAAATGTTTAAAAAAATGTACTGGCAAAGATGAACATTACTGGTAGTTACATTTTCTGCCCATCTGAAAAATTAGGAAGCTGTGATTGTAAATACCATATTCAAAGCCTTTTATTTGTGTTGCTTTTTTTATATAACAGTAATGTAGAAATAACTGGCATACAGATTAGTTGTGATCTATGAAACTGGGGAAATAGATTGTCAGACATTTCTCATCAACTTAAATGTAAGTAACAGATTTAGTAGGAAAAAAAAGAAACTTGTTGGGGGTTCTGATAAAGATGCAATATGTTTTTCAATGTCTGTGGCCTAAAATCCATAGCAAATTGATTTGGTAAAGTAGCCTTTGGAAAATGTAAACCATCTCTCTCTCTGACAGGAGCAGAGAGTACTGCTCAAAACCAACCAGAGTAACTTTCTTGCTCTACAACAGATAACGTGTTCAAAAGCTAGCATTCTACAAAAATACATTTTTGGGGGGGACTATTGCCTGACCTTGCTGTAGGGGAATTTTCTATGCCAGATCTTTGGCTATACTAGGATCCCCCTGTCAGGCTCTGCTAGCATAACTGGCTCATTCCCCATAGCCTGGCTCGTCTCCAGCATTAATAACATATCAAGGACACACTGGTGCTGTGGATGGAAGGGGGTCATTAATGATGGTGCATGTCAGAGAAGCCAGAATATTATTTAATTTTCCATTTGCAGTTCCTTACATTTTGCATCCATACCATACAAAAAAAATCCACTTCTATATAACCCCATGCTAACAATTGATAATCTGACTTCTTGTATGTGTGTGTATGTACACATGCACATCCATTCTAGTACTTGTCTATTCACAATGGTGGTAGATTTTGCACAAATGCATTTTCACAAATTAGGACACAATTTTTTGTGCCACCACTAAAAATATCATGCGAGTCTATAAATAGGATATTGGATATTTGATACAGAATGAAAAGGAAATTTAATTTGTTGATTAAGTAACTCCATATTACTTACATGTTGAGGGGTTGTAGCTGGACTGGATACTGGAGAAGTTTTATTTTTCTGGAGACAAAAATGTTGTTTATTAGTCAAATTCCATATACTGCCAGTTCTGGATACTGTTAAACCCCATTCTGATGGGTCTCTTGTTAAGAGTTTGGTTTGTATCTAGAACAAACTTTTTCTAAATGTCCTTAGCTATAGTAGGATACAAAGAATCTATGGAAAGTTGGGGGTTATTTGGATTTTAAAGAATTATCTTGGAAATATTTTGGCAAAGTATCTTGTGATCTAAAAAGGATCAGGCAGCTCATCTTCAATAGCAAATATCTTGAGTCTTCCCAACAAAGAAGTGGGAGAGAGCACATTCTTTCTTTCTTCTTTTTCTATGGACAGTGTCCATAGAAACTAACACAATAAAAGTAGGTTTGAGAGACACTCGAGCCACTTCAGTCCATAATTAGATGCATTTGTATATTTCTTTTATATATATTTTATTTCTTTCTCCCCCCACCCCTCATGTTATCTTAGTACAGTTTTACAGTCTGCTGTAGTAAGATGGCAATGAAGCCACTCTTGCTGGCCCAATCATGAAATGCTTGTGGTTCCACAATCTACAACCCAATACATTATTGGGGAGAATGTTGCAAGAGTAGGGAACCCCCTCTCCCCAAAAAATGGTTAGCGATAATGTGACTAACAGTCCGAAGGCAGAGTGGTGTGTAGGAATCAGTAGGAACACCAGGCAGACTACACCCATGGCTTGGATGAGGAAAAGAATTAAATGAAACAATCACAATAAATTATTGGTAGCACCAGTATACTCACTTCTTTTTCCATTGCCTTTAACAGGTTTTCTGATGCTTGTCTGCTGTGGTATCTGCAGACATGTTTAATTTCATTCTCTTTACATCTACACGCTGGCACAGAGCTATAGTATTTCTGGAGAACAATAAGCACAGAGGATTACATAGTCCAATATCACAATCACACCCAAGGCTGCTCTTAATTCACAGTCAAAACTAGAAGTGGAAGTGCATGATTATTGACCTTTTGCATTAAATCAGTACCCTGTTCTGACTGGAGACTGGAAATACCCTTAAAGGACCAAGGCCTAAACCAATTAAAAAAGAGGACTTGGGTTCCTGCTCCTCCAACACCCTGGAAGAGAACCCTCAGCCCTGAGTGAGATGCTTCAGAACAGGCATGAAACTGCATACTGAGTAAGAGGTTGTTTGCGCTAGCTGAGATAGAAATTTTGAGAATGGGATGAGTCTTTAAATCCTTCTCCTCTCCAGCATTCAGGGAGACACCATGCTCCAACTGGGATTCACTGCTTCCAGTACCCTCCAAAAGGTAGACTGCTTGACCCTTTTAAGAGGGTCAAGCAGAGTCCTGTTTCCTGCTCCCTGGGTCCAATTCAAATTCTTCTCTCCAAGTGCAACACCTGAAGCACAGGTTCACAATATCCTGGTGGTTGGGGTGCTTGCCTGGGAAGTCAGAGATATGCATATAAATCCTCAGGCAGAGAAGGGAATTTAGCCTTCATCACCCACATCTTGGGTGAGTAGCTTAACCATTGAGGTACTGCATTAGAACATGGTAGCAGCAGATGCAAAATGAATGGTGATCTATTGGCAGACAAGGTTCTTTGGGTGAATCTGATATCTTTTATTAGACTAACTTAAATAGTTTGAAAAAAAAATTGAAGCAAGCTTTATTTAAGTTGGTCTAATAAAAGATATCAGATTCACCCAAAGAACCTTGTCTGCCTATGTCTTTAGACCAACACAGCTACAACCTACACCCCTATAACCTGGTCATCTATTGGTACTTTAGGGTATGTTCAAAATAGACCCTCAGATATGCATGGAACTTTAATGCTAAAAACTATTTCCTGTGGACTTGAGGCACATCCAGAATTAGGGTCAGCAGACCAGGGGTTTTGAGAATTGTAATTTTGGACTTAGGTGCCTAAATCCCACCAGAATCCCTTTGTCCATCTCATGCCAAGTGAATTGGTCTTCCTATTGCTAAGTGAATTGCTTGGGAAGGAATCTGCTGCCATCTGCTGTCCCTATGCAGCACACACAACTTTTGCTCACATGCCCCTGTAGTTAGCAAGTAGGAAGTTCCAAGCGGTTTAGTTTGTCTAGTGCATTTCCTTTGCTAACTATGCCAAGTCAAACAGACCAGAAATATGGCCAACTATCCTCTTCTTGTTTGCAATTCCACTTTCCCACTTTATGCTTTGATGTAACTACTAAGAGCAGTTCACGTTTTTTTGACAGTTTTTAAATAAATTGCTCTAATATTGTTATGTATATTGTACACATGCCCAAAATTATATTGCAGTTGAAGTTCAGCTATTCAGATGTAATGGACCCTTTGCATATTAGCATTGCATCATAAGAATCCAGCAAGATTTTTCTGCTATGAGGTCTGGGGTCAAAGATGGGGGGAATAAAAACATTTTGTTTGGGTTTTTCAGGCATCTAGGGCTTGTATTTTAGAAGGTATTCAGATACCGGACTCTCTGGTGCCTAAATACCTTTACATATCTGTCCCTGTATGACTTAAGCATCAAAAGTTTCAGTCTGAAGAGTTAGACATTCAGGAACTCAAGCCCCATTAATTTTTAATGATGCTTAGACACTTGTCACAAATTAATCCTAGAAATTATGGGTAAGAAGATATCCCCTCTCCCTTCATGCATCTTGGAAAGGCTGTAAAACTGTATGGTCTAGGACAGAGGTATCAAAGGATATAGGCCCAGATACAGCCCATGGACCCGTGTCTGTATTTCAGCCTGTGGGGCCAGAATTTTGCCAGTTGAACTTTGAGAACTGCAGCAATTAATGCTGCTCCTGCTCATCCCACAACCAACAGCTTTTTTTACATGTGTCCAGATGCTTTTAATTAGCAAGCCATGCTAATGAAAAGCACCTGCATGTCACATGTGTAAGCAACACAGCATGCCTCTGCACTGAGAAAATGGCGGCGATGCACTTTGAACTAAAGCACTTTGCACCGCCATTTTCTCAGTGAAGAGGTGTGCTGCGCTGCTGATACACATGACACGAGGCTGCCAGAATGCATCAATTTATGTACCCCAGCAGACTTGATTAATCAAATCTGTTCCGATGTGCTAATCCACTGTGTCAAAACGGGCTCCCTGCACGAGTGTACGTGCCCCAAGTTTTCATCCCCCTGGGCCAGATCTAAAGCAGGCCTGCAGGGCCAGAAATTTGGTGATGGAGGAGCAGCAGCTGCTACCACCGACTTTCCAACCCTGTGGGCACTGCCATGCTACTCATCCACTCCTTTGAGCTGCAGGAGTTAACCCCTTGGTCTAGGAGACTAGTATGGTTGGAAGGCTATCACTCTTCAATTCTCACCCCAACTCTGCTAATGGCTCCTGCTGTGGTACTGGGTGAGACCCTATACCTTGCTGTGGTTTTATCCTCTCTTTTGTAACATGGAAGTGAAGCTGTCTGTGTCCTGCTGGGGTAGTTGGAGGCTTCACTACTGTGTGTTTAACACAGTACGTTGAAACTAGGTGCTATACAAGAGCTAATTATTGATGTATTTAACTTGAACCCTTCCCCTTCTTTTTAGTTCTCTCTAATTTTACACTCACGCTTATTAATTTTCTAGATAACAAGCTGCTTGCTGCAAGATGATAGCCAACATCAAAGGACAAAGATGATATAAATTATGATGAGGTTTGCTTACAGATTTTAATTCAAAAGATATGCCACAGCAGTGTGTTCCAAAAGGCAGAATTGGAGGAAATCAATGTACAGTTTCCAAGATGTTTCTAGAAGGCTAATGAGACTTGATCACTAGGTTCCTCAAGTCGCTGTTAAATTACAATTTCAGGGTCAAATATGTTCAAAGATGAAAGAATGTGGCTTTTTAGAACTCTGCAAGTAACCGCAGGACTGTGAAAACAGGCATTTTATTTGTCACTCCTTAGGTTCTGCTGATCATAAATAAACAGTCCACAAAAAGTTTGTTCATAGGAGTCTGATCTTTACGTAGGTGAAGTTCCTCCAGGCATCAGCAAAAATTTGCTTGCATCTGGGGTGCACGGGGTTGGATTGTACGTGGCTCTTTCATGAGCATACACAAACAAGAAAAAGTTCTCTATCTTGCTGGAGGCAATAAAACTACACTCCTTTCTCCTCTTGCTCTTTAAACACATGGAATATTTTGGCTGTAGTGTCATGGCACACATGGAAAATATGAGTTAACCTTGTTCAAAGCATCTATACACCAAGGGGAGTAGTTTTGTATGGCACATGACAAGAACTATAACAATGGTGTTAATCACTCTAGCCTCCCCATTTTAAGCTTCTCTTCCTGCCCATTTTGGCAATCCTCTATGATCAAGCTTCTCTTACAAAGGGAGAGAGTGAAAATAGCCACTCTCCTGTGGCTGTGATTTCATATGATTTCACTGGGGCTACTAACCAGGAGAATGCTACTGCAGACGGTGACAGTGTCTCCTAGCATGCCATGCAACCCAACTCAGAACAGATCCAGGTGACTGGGAGGTAAAAGGGCTGCCCAGTGACCTGAGGGTGGGAGATGTCTTTAGAGTTCTCAGTCTAGACTGGGTAGTATAAGCCATCATTCAAGCCCTCATTAGTCATTACTAAAACCTGAGAGGTTGCTCCGAATCCCCAATTCATGTCTAGTTCCTTTACAAGTGACCCAACCACAAGCATAAACTTGGCAACCTCTCCCAATATAAAGACTTACCTCGCATTCCTTTGTGGTCCGATTCATGAACTCGGAAACTGAAGCAAATGCTGCACTGAGACTTTCTGAATCTTCTTCCTGAAATTAAACAATTTTTGGGGAAGCGATATGTGACTAAGCATTTTATAACAGAGGCCTACCGTGGGTCTTGGGCCTTGCTTTGAAGTTACCTTCATCCGTATGAACCAGGTGCGCACAACTGCAGCCAGGCTGGCAGAATAAAACAACAGAACATCGCCTAGCTTAGGAGGCTTGATCCGTGAGGAAATAGGTAGCTGTGGACTATATGATCCTACCCTATATCAGAAGCATTTGTGAACCTCTGAAGCACTTATGAACCTTTACTACCAGGTCGCATCCACAAAGCCATCATAACGCTGCAGAGTAGTTATGCAATTTCACCATCTCTGAAAACAAGCGAGTTCGAAGCAACTGGCAAGATTTTACACTGGCTTTGACTGCATGCAATACAGGAAGGTACCAGGGCACAAAGTGCGACTGCTGAAGCATCCTCATGTAGTCTAGCTAATTATAATGCACACATTAGGCCTTAAGGCTAGGGACAGAAGTTACACATAAACCAGTTTAAGTGATCAGAAATTAGTTTAAATCTGTAACAGAACAGAAGGTCAGTGCACATAAACCAGTTTCAAAATAGCCGAAACTGGCTTAAGATAAACCTGGTTGAATGCCGTATCAGACTTAACAGATTTGGGTCAAACCGGTTTCCAGAACTTCTGTCACAGACCTAAAGGACCTGCCCTGTAGACTCCACCTGCTGGAAGGAAAGTCAGCCCCAGGGGAGATGATCCTGGCCCTTGCAAGAAGGCAGGAGCGGATCACACCTGCAGGCCCAGCACAAAGGTAGCAATTCCCCCCTTGAGACCGGGTTACACAATGTGAGCCCTGCGAGGGGTGCAAAAGGGCTTTACAACCTGGAGGTGTTGGAGCATTGTCTTTCAATCAGGAAAAAAAAAAAAGTAGACCTGCCCTCGGGTTTCCCTGTAAGCACTGCCAGAGAGAGGATCTCCAAGGACTGAGAAGCACTGCTCTGAGGAGCCAGCCTGCCTCTCCCCCTTGGCCAGTACTACTGCAGAGAGCGTTTCACTGGAGCTGGCTGCTGCCCCCTTAAAGTGCCCGGAGAAGACTCAGGAAGGCGGGAGCCGCGGATCCCCCCCCCAGCCGCAGCCCTGGTCCCAACCCTAGCCCTCCCCCGGCTCCCCAGGCACCGACCCGGGGCTGCGGCCAGTTCACGCGCCGCCTCCGGGCGCGATCCAGCACCTCCCGCGCGAGCCCGGCGGTGCGCAGCATCCCGCCGCCCCAAACGGCCCGCTCCGGAACGCCCCGCGGCGCGTCACAATGCTGGCGCGTCACTTACGCCACGCCCCCTGCACGTCTGTGCACTGCCACAAGCGCCGCAGGCGGAGTCGGGGGGTGCTTCCACGTGCCCTTATAGCCCAGGGCTGCTCAGCCAGGCGGGGCGGCGACTGCGAGATCCTGTTAGGGGTGCAGAGGGGAGGAGTCACAAGCTAAACCCACTCATTTTGTGACGAGAGGAAAATAATAACAAGTAATAGAGCACTAGTCTGTTGCAAAGAACTCAAAAGGACTGCGACAGGTCAGAATGCTGACCATCATCCTCAACATTGCTTATCATCAGGGATCCTGGTTTTCTCCGATTTAAAAAAAATCCCCAATGTTCAGTTTAAAAAGAGTAACGCCAAATCCACATTTTTCCATGATTAAAATCAGTGGCCCTGAGAGTGCTGGTACACTCCCTGACAGGGCAAGCTCCCCACTTAGGTGATGGGCAGGGTGGGTAAGCAGGAGCGCTGGTTCTCCCCTCCCCATGAGTACTGGCCAGGGTATGGGAGCACCTGGATGGAGCACCATGGCCACTTGCGGGAGTAGCACTGCCAAGATTGGCTGTGGGGGACCCCACTCCCCACAGTTGCTGACTGGTGGCTGGGGGGGCACATGCCCCCCCGACTAAGGTGGTACCAGTTGCCCAGGATTAAAATGAAACACTGCTATAGATATATATATTAGTGGCATTTCAGTTTAATCACTGGAAAATGTGGATTTGGGGTTACTTTTTTTAAACCAAAAATTGGGGATTTTTGTTGATTGGAAAAAACCAGGATCCCTGCTTATCATCATTCTTATTGCTATTATTATTGGTGTTGTTGTTATAATGATCATTATCATTTTTATCATTGTTATCATTGTTAATATCACTATAGTGTCACTTTAGGAAACCCCAGTATTAAAAGCCTTTTGCCCTGCCAGGGTGTTGGTTGTAGCCATGTTGATCTAAGCAGGAGTGATTGGTGCCTCCTGAGTCTGGGGGGGGGGGGG